CCGTCTCAAAAAAAAAAAAAAAAAAAAAAAAAAAAGAAAGTAGAGCTCTAGTCTAGAGGAATAAGGGGCTCTGGCAGCTCAAATCAGTTGTGAGTATAAGTTATGGGAGGGCCCAGCTTCCTTCAAGCTACCCATTTCCCTGTTTGGAAGACTGTTCTCTGAGATATGGGGTGGGAGAGAATCCTCTGAAAGCCACCAGAGGTCATGCTTTGTACATCTGTGTTCACACTGTCTCTGTCTTCTGGTTAATTCCACAGTGTGTTTGTGTATGTGTGTGTGTGTGTTTGGCAGGATGGTGGTCACTGATTTCAGAACTTAGATGATATTTCTTCTGGTATTAGTGTTTGGGATATTCGAAGTGGCGCACAATAAGATGAATTAAGTGGTAATTGTGGTCTAATAACAATATTAAGAGCCCCTTTTTATTCAATACTTTTTTACTATATGCCAGACACTCTGCTAGATACTGAGGATATATAAATAAATTAGATGTAGCTTCTGCTGTCAAGGAATTCTAGTAGTAAAGAGCGACCGACGATAGCAAAAATGCTTGCACAATAGCACGTGCTGTGACAGAGTTGTGTTTAGGGTGCCGTGAGAATCAGGAACTTAAAGGAAAGCTTCACAGAGCAGGTGTGTTTTGATGTCCAAATATGAATTAGGTAGGCCAGGTGAGGGAGGGGGTAGAATGTGAGTTAGGAAGAAGGAAACAGGAACCAGATACGCAAGGCAAAGGAAGCAGCGGGTGCAAATACATGAAAAGGAGAGAAAGAAGGGCCTATTTGGGGAGCTGCAAATAGTCCAGAAGGGCTGGAATGTAGGTGTGAAACGGAGGCACTCAGCAATCAGAGCTGGAGAGATGCCCTTGGTGGGTTGAGCGTGCTGTGTACACTATGCTGGCTAGCTATGGTTTCATCCTACTGATGTAAGAATCATGCTGGGGTTTTTTTTTGTTTGTTTGATTTTTTTTTTGAGACGGAGTCTCGCTCTGTCGCCCAGGCTGGAGTGCAGTGGGGCGATCACACCTCACTGCAACCTCTGCCTCCGATTCTTCTGCCTCAGCCTCCTGAGTAGCTGAGGCTACAGGTGCCCACCACCATGCCGAGCTAATTTTTGTATTTTTAGCAGATGGGTTTTCACCATATTGGCCAGGCTGGTCTTAAACACCAGGCCTTGTGATCCGCCCACCTTGGCCTCCCTAAGTGCTGGAATTACAAGCGTGAGCCACCTCGTCCCACCAGATTTTTTTTTTTTGAGACAGGATCTCCTTGCTCTGTCACCCCAGCTGGAGTGCATTGGTGCAATCTTGGCTTACTGCAGCCTTGAACTCCTGGGCTCAAGCGACCCTCCCACCTTAGCCTCCCACGTAGCTGGGACTACAGGTGGTGCTGCCACACGTGGCTAATTTTTATTTTATTTTTTCATAGAGCCAGCATATTCCTTTACTGCCCAGAACCCCTAACCTCAAGTGATCCTCCTGTTTTGACCTCCTAAAGTGCTGAGATTACAGGCATGAGCCATGACTCCCGGCCCCATAGCAGGATTTTAAGCACCACAATGACACATAGCACTTTGCTATATTGGGGGGAAGGAAGATTACAATGTTGGACAGGTCTAATGAGAGTTCTAATAGGTTGTTAGTTGCCCTCACTGGAATTCAGTCCAATGATATATTGGATTCAGCCATTTTTGAATATCATGTGTTAAGTCGCTGTGCTAGGAACTGGGGAAACAGTGGTGAGTATAGCATTTTACATATAATGAAGAAATCTGTTATATGCTTTTTACATTCATGCCTGTGAGGTTTTATTGAGAGGACTGAATGTTCAGTGGACTTTTTCTGCCATTCCTGCAATCAATGACCCTTCCCTGCTTACTGGAATCTCTTTCTCACCTGCACTCTCCTGATTTCATGTCTGATTGCTTCTCTGAGGCCCTCCTCACTCCCAGGTATAATACTGTACAATTGTCACAAACCAGCTCTTCCCTTTTGGGGTGACTCCATTTTGCAGCCTTCAACTACTACTTTGTGCAGACAACCAATCCTGAGCTCTCCTCCTACAAGTTACACTTCCAATTTTCTACCTGTTATTTGCATTAGAATGTCTCACCTTCTCTTCAGACTCACTACATCTAAACCTGAGCTCATCATTTTTTTCTATCTGCTCCCAACCCTTCACCCCCTCATCTCACTCTACCCCTTCTCCTACATTCCAGGCCTGTTTTTTTCATTTCCAAGAAACCTTAGGATGATCACGAGTCTGGAGAGTCTTGCCCCATACTGTTTTCTTTGCAGATGTCTGCGATTCAAATAAAACCAGACAGGGCCAGGAGCAATGGCTCCTGCCTGTGATCTCAGCATTTTGGGAGGCTGAGATGGGTGTATCGCTTGAGGTCAGGAGTTCCAAACCAGCCTGGCCAACATGGCAAAACCCCATCTCTAGTAAAAATACAAAAATTAGCTGGGCGTAATGGTGCATGCCTGTGATCCCAGCTACTTGGGAGGCTGAGACAGAAGAATGACTTGAATCTGGGAGGGAAAGGTTGCAGTGAGTCAAAATCATGCCACTACACTTCAGCCTCAGCAACAGAGTGAGATTCTGTCTCAAAAAAATAAAACAAGGCAGGGCACGGTGGCTTATGCCTGTAATTCCAGCACTTTGGAAGGCCGAGGCAGTTGGATCACAAGGTCAGGAGGTGGAGACCATCCTGGTTAACATGATGAAACCCTATCTCTACTAAAATACAAAAAAATTAGCTGGGTGTGGTGGTGCGCGTCTGTAGTCCCAGCTACTCGGGAGGCTGCAGCAGGGGAATTGCTTGAACCCGGGAGGCAGAGGTGGCAGTGAGCCAAGATTGCACCACTGCACTCCAGCTCTGGCGACAGAGCAAGACTCTCTCAAAACAAAAAACAAAAAACAAAAACAGATGGAATAAGGGGATGCTACTGAAGCTAACCACATCAACAAGGCTTCCCATAAAACCGGTTTTTCCTGGATATGGTTTCTCTTTTGCAGAAATTGCCATACAAGAACCCAACTCACCTTGCTCAGCAGCAGGAACCCTGGAGTCGGCTCAACTCAACCCCCACAATTACTTCCATGAGGCGGGATGCCTACTATTTTGATCCGGAGGTAGCAAACATTGAAATATTATTTATCTTGGTAGCCATTTAGGGTTCTTCTTTTTTTTTTTTTTTTT